TGTCCGAACAGTATTAAATGGACATTCATTTTGTATTTTATTTTTATAAAAAAAAAAAAAAGGCAACGTTTTTTCACAGATCTTGACCATGAACGATAAAAGAAGACGGAATAATAAAGAGCGATGATACTGAATTTCTCATTTGATATACATAAATCATCATCGGGCCATGAAATATTGCTTTAGTCACTGCTATACGGGGAACGTAAAATAAAGATTGTAGATATTAAATTTTCAAACGATATTTATCATTGTTCAATCAAAAAATCAAATCTCGATCTGATGTACGAGAAAAGTTGAAAACAATTGTCCTGAAAGAATCCTTTCTACATAGAACAGAACTTCTACGAAAAATAAATCCCACTACATTTTGTACTATCTGCAACTATTCTATACAGTTGGCTAAAAATAAAAACCATAAGGCTTGTAGAAACAATAGAGAAGACGCTGGATGGATCATAGTTAATGACGAACGCAATGTATTTGATGAAAAAACAATTTTTCTTGATAAAATTTCTTTACTCGATCACGATAGCAAGATGAAATCCGACAAGTGATTAGAGTAACTGTCAGGTCAGGATTACAATGTGTATAAAAATTCTGTTGAAACTACTGAAAACTAGCGTTCGAGAAACTCGAGTTTCTGGATTCGATCGACCATCTTTTGTTAAACAACAAACTAGTATGAATCAAAAAATATTTGCTGTGGAGTTATTTTCACTGTTTTCTGATCGTTTATTGGAGCTATTTTTAAAATCCTTGTATTTTTCCAATGACTCATTGTTCAAGGTTGCGTCAAGTTTCATGTTGAAAAAAATGTCTAATGTATTCGATAAACTATCAGAAGTTTTCAAAATGGAAATTTTAGTTTTATTACAATGATTATTTTAAAAAAAGTGAAAAACGGAAACTAGTTATGACAAACTGTGGACGAGTTTATTTATAATGTTATCATTTTCCACTCATTTTCTCTTTGCATCTACTCAGTTGCTACTTCTCCTTATTTCGTATGTTAAAAAGAAACTGGCGTCTATAAACAAAACGTTTTAATGGACTAGTTTCTGATTTGAAGATAGTCTGGATAATCAAGAAGATATTTATCCAGAACACCCACCGACTTGAAAACTGCGCATTCATTTTGGATGAATAAAAGTAGAAAACGGTCATACTTACGGCTCGTTCAATTTAGTTAACATCAGTTTTATGTTTATACGTACTTTACATCTATTCTTTTCACTTTTATTCTAAAAGTTTGGAATGGATATGTTACTCATCTCTAAACATTTTTCTTCTATGATTCAGTACTTGAAAATACTAAAATTTTGAAGTCTGAAGATGGAAATCAAATATTTTTTCTTATCACTGATTTGTATTCAGTTTTATTGTTTTCATTTATAATACAAATGTTATTCTTACATCAGTGTTGTATGTGAGGGTGAGGGTGTGTGAGTTGATGCTAATTTAGAGGCTAAACAGGTAAAGTAGTTGAACAAATACATTAACATTTTTTCTAATATATATGCCCATGACCTTTTTTTATCTAAATCTAATTAAATAACATCTATCATTCAGTATCATCATTAATATTTAATATTTACAAAAAAAAGTGTAATACGTTTGCAAGTGACAGTCTCTCACATTTGTGATTCGTAGATCTAGTTATATTAGTTAATATAATAACAAAACTTTTCATTTATTGATGTATTTTATGTACGATACGTTTCATTCAGTTGTAAACTGAAATGTCAATAGAATTGGAGCCAATAAACAATACGTATCATATTGACCCATCTTTTTAACGCAGTGAGTAGACATAAAGTGCGAAACAAGACGCATATCTCATGAAGAATACACGAATATTAACTGATAAGATAGTTTACGATATGCATCAGAGCACAATCGACACCCGAATCTATTCATGGTCAAAATCTGTGAAAAACGTTGCCTTTTTTTTTTTTGTATAAAAATAAAATACAAAATGAATGTCCATTTAATACTGTTCGGACAAATAGCTAATCGAAAATATACACTATCATGTTAAAATTATAATATTGAAACTTACCTCTGCAAACGATAAATGACTCATTTATAGGCTTGTTTCGGGAATCCAAATAGAGTAAATGACTATTTAAAAATCTTCTGGGAATACAATATTGTACAGTTTCTTTATTTTTATACACCGCATCGACGAAGCGAAAGACAAGTTTATGACGTAAAAAATAGAAAAACTATAGTAGTAGCTGTCTTGAAAATACGGGAGGGGAAAGGAGAGAGAAAGAGAGAGACGAAGGAAATAGTTAGGTCTGGATAGACATTTTTTCCTCTGTATTCTCGCGTTACAGCATATAATAAACATAAGATGAAGAGTAGGCAAGCGAATAATAAAATAATAATAATAGTATAACACAATAATATAATCGTCATCGTTTTTTTCACTCTTCGACGAACACAGAACAAAAGCAAGTGTTTTTATTTGATAGTTTCTTTCAAAAATCTTTTTTGTTCTTTTTTTTCTTCTCTCCCTGTTAAAAAAGTAGCATTATATTAATATTTAGATAAAGAAAAATTCTTAACAAGAAAAATAGTAATAGTGAGCATTCTTATTGTCAAAAAAAAACAAAAAACCAAGGGATTCAAGCAGATCAGTTCTCTGTCGGTTTTATGAAGGGAAACTTCTTCACATAAAACGATGCCAATAAGCAGTACACTAATTACAAATTATAGGAGAAAAACAAGTGTCTACAAATAATAATCTATTAAATGACTAAAAATAATTATGAACAATTTATAAACCGTAAGATTTCTACAATCTATTAGAAAGATTAAAATTTGCGAAACTTTTACAGATGTTTACATCTGAATGTGATAAAGTAGCGAGTATTAATCTCGAAATTTACTTACATCAACGTAATAAAGTCTCATTTTTTTCTCCTAAGAGTCAAGTCAATTGTCTCTCGTTATTACTATTATTAGTAGAATTATTTCAACAGAAAATCAAATATCAAAAATGATGTGGCACATTTAACAAGTACATTCACTAATCTAAAAGTGACCTAATGTCAAACAGTGGCAGCAAGATCATATTGTACAAATGTATTTATCTTCTTTGATGAACAACAATGAAAAGAAAAACAATGTAGTAAATTAAATTATGTTTTGTACAAAAATATAAAATAAAAATGAAGATTTCTCTGAATACAAAAAGACAAACTTTAACTGATTAAAAAATGAAGGGTTCAGCTCAATTTTGGTCTTTTCTTAATATTTTAACGTTCATTCTTAGATGATCGAGATAATAACATAGTAAATGAAGAAATCGAATATGCCGGCGATATTAAACTAAAATTGAACGAGATGTTGTGGATTTAGCATTTGATACATCGTCAACTGTCTGTTTATCGGACGATCTTGTTTTCTCTTTAAATGAAACTAAAACGTGTTTACTAGACTTGTATGCACCTTAACAGAAAGAATTTTAGAATGTTTCTTACGTCATATATTCTTTCTGTTGTAATCCCGCGACTTTCTTCCTGATATGAAAAAACTTTGAATTTCTCAGCCTCCTCGTATTGGACATTTTTATATTGAGGTATCTCGTCTCACTTATTTTTCTTTTGCATTTTCTTGAACTTGTTTTAATTATTATTTCATACAGTTTTCGGATATCTGGGCTCCCGACGCTCTTTCCGTATAGTTGTACATTGATACACCCAATGATCTTTTTCTAAATATTGAATATTTCTACCACGTTGGTCTATATTTCTATTATTATTCTGAGAATTTTCATAGATTCTCAAAACATCAAATTCCTCACACAACAAGAAAGTCAGAAGTTACGATTACGTTATTTCTGTCCGTTGTTTGTATTTGACTTAACGTTTGTCCAATACCATTCTACTGCTCGACCTCTATTAGTTGTTACTAGCCTGTCTCTACCCAATACTCCTCATCAACACATACTTGAATTCTATCCAAAACAACTGGTCTGAAAGACTTATGCAGTGCACAATATTCAGCACTGATCAACCAGTTATATAACTCTGGATGATCAGTTCAACAGACGTCACTTTACTGTGTCCATCATATTCTATAATTGGACAATGTTTAGCTACGACTATATGATTAAAATTCTCCATTGTAACATTATTTGGATAAGGTATACGAACATATGTATGATGTTTACAGTTTTCAATTAAATGTAAATGTTCAATTGATATTTTACCGACTTCAAACATAAAGTCACATTCAAAAGCTTGAAATTGTTTGGAGAAAAGTCGTGTTGTATCCGAATTTTCGTGATTACTACCAACTAGAAACATAACACTTGGTCCATCACATCTAGAACCACGCAAGAGTATTTGTTTGGCTGCACGAGGCCGAATCGGAAAATCTCGATGTTGCTCAATGAAATAGCCATGAAATGTTTTAAATAGTGCTGTTTTGAAGACAATATCGAACGACGTCACTAGAAGGGAAAATATACATTTCTAAATCAGATTGGATAAAAACTGTTCATCGTGGTCTAGTCTAAGGATAATTTTCTATTTCGTTAATGTACATAAAGCTACATAATGAATTTGTGGTTAGATGGTTTTGAAATATACATTCAATTCTGTATGCTACCATTAGACATAAAAACCTTTTGCTTCATTGTTAAGTTTGCTTCATAAATTCTAATATAATCAGGTGAGGAGCTAAGCAAAACGTTAATAACCTCTTAGAATCAAAGGTATATTTTATTCAATTTAATACATACTTAGAACATCAAGTTTTTCTGTGTAACTCTTCATTTGAAAGTATGCATTTTTCTTGTACGTTACCATTTCTGTACTGGGTTATAAAATACTATAAGCAACTTTTTGTTATTCATATTGTGCTTGTACTGGTTTCTGTGAAATATAAATACGTTCCGTTTTTCATGATTGCTGGAGGGGGTACACCGGTACAATAAAAATATTTTTTCAAATACTTATACAAAGCGAAAAAATGTGTATATTGCAGGTGATCGATTCAACTCATTCAGACAAATCTTCTACATAACTTTCTGTTAAGAAAGTTAATGAATGTACACTGTGAACACTAAATGTCAAGCGAAACTAAAATAAATACATGTAAACTGAATTTTCACGTTGAATTGAATGCTCTTTGATCTTGTTTACAGCGGGTAACGTGAAAAATAATAAAAATATGACGAAGCGTGCTTTTTAGTCGCAAAATTTTCGCATATTTTCCGATTCGGCCTCGTGCAGCCAAACAAATACTCTTGCGTGGTTCTAGATGTGATGGACCAAGTGTTATGTTTCTAGTTGGTAGTAATCACGAAAATTCGGATACAACACGACTT